TCAAGGAAGAATACACAGGACTCTTGTATTCAAGCTTTAAAATCCTTTGTCTTTACCACAGTCATACAAACACCCACACACAGCAAAGGCAGTTTGCTCAGATGCCAAAGTCTTTCTGTTGTTCAGGAGACCAGAGAACAGTCCATACAAACACAGGGAGAACATGGAACTAAAGCCAGCAGACCTGCTCTACAAGTCAAGAATGGTATTCCAGCGCAAGTATCTGAAGTGTTTTTAATAAAGGAACAAGAAGAAGAGAGTAAGGTGCCATTCACACTTACCACATGCATGTATGTGCACAAAATCACATGCTTTTGCATAAGAGTCCCACGTTCGCTGTGTCATTGTTTGTTAATGCCGCTCCAAACCTGGGCAAAATGTGTGTGACCCTGCCGACACCCCCCAGTTTGACAAAAATACATTTTTCATGTGACCTATGTCGAAGGAGCCGAGTGGAAATTTATCGACCAAACAATGACTGCATTCAATCAGATGTCACTGTTCCGGTATTTAGCAGCCGCGGGAGCCGCAGTAGCTGAATACAATAGCCGACACCAGGGATTCCTTCATCTATGCTGTTTAGCAAGGATGGGGGAGTCTAATCATTTCAGCTTTGTGGGCTGAGCAAGATAATCTATGGCCTGCAGTGCTTAAATGTGGGTTTAGTTTTTCTGCTTCTTTTTATCAATGTACTTTATGCGTGTTTATGCCATATAACCCTTTAACTGCCAACAACATCTAAAATACTTCATGGAAATCATAGGGTTAAAACAAGCTCTGCAATTGTGAACTTTCTATATACATATGACAAGCTCTCAGCTTAAAGAAGCAGTCACTTCCACACCATTGGATGTATGTAACCCTCCATCATTCCTGGGTACTTCATGAAGAGCTCAGTGGACTTCATGAAGAGCTCAGTGGACTTCATGAAGAGCTCAGTGGACTTCATGAGGAGCTCAGTGGACTTCATGAGGAGCTCAGTGGACTTCATGGGGAGCTCAGTTGACTTCATGGGGAGCGAGCTCAGTTGACTTCATGGGGAGCGAGCTCAGTTGACTTCATGGGGAGCGAGCTCAGTTGACTTCATGGGGAGCGAGCTCAGTGGACTTAATGAAGAGCTCAGTGGACTTAATGAAGAGCTCAGTGGACTTAATGGGAAGCTTAGTGAACTTCATGGGGAGCTCAGTGAACTTCATGGGGGGCTCAGTGAACTTCATGGGACGTCTCAGTGAACGTCGTGGGGAGCTCAGTAGACTTAATGGGAAGCTCAGTGAACTTCATGAAGAGCTCAGTGGACTTAATGGGAGTCTCAGTGAACTTTATGGGAATCTCATGGGGAGCTCAGTGAACTTCATGAAGAGCTCAGTGAACTTAATGGGAAGCTCAGTGAACTTCATGGGGAGTCTCAGTGAACTTTATGGGAATCTCATGGGGAGCTCAGTGGACCTCGTGGGGGGCTCAGTGGACTTCATGGGGAGCTCAGTGGACCTCATGGGGAGCTCAGTGGACCTCATGGGGAGCTCAGTGGACCTCATGGGGAACTCAGTGGACCTCATGGGGAACTCAGTGGACTTCATGGGGAGCTCAGTGGACTTCATGGGGAGCTCAGTGGACTTCATAGGGAGCTCAGTGGATTCATGGGGAGCTCAGTTGACTTCTGATCAGTGATTCAGTCTTTCAGGCTCGTTGATTTAGTGCCCTGGTGACATTAGCTGGTTGAGCTGGAGTTTAGGGACATGCACGAGTCGACATCAGGAGTCTAATGAGACCCCTGATGACTTCATAAAGAGAATTCGGCACATGGGGCATGTTAGCCCCGTGAGAAATCAATACAGTAAAGTTTATAGAAAAGAGAAATGTAGAGGAAAAAATATTAATTAAAAGCCCAACATGGGCGCCCCAGGACAGTAATAAAAACCTGACAGAGATTCTAAATCACTTTATCCAAATCTACAACATTTTGCCTGGAGGTACATTTTAAAGGGATAACCTCTACAGTACTGAAGTGGTCAAACAATCCTTTTCCAGCCATACTGTGATTACGGATAGATATAATCAGTGATTTAAATAATCGAGTAGCTGCTTACTGTGAAATTGATGAAAAATACAACAGAGAATGTGACACTCCCTCATCAAGGCCAGGGCAGGTGGGTGGAGCTAGGAACTCAAGTGCAGAGATCTTTCCACCAAAATTCCTGAGACATCCTGTATATGTGAAGCCAGCATCTATCTGAAGCTGAAATACTACAATCTGGTGAGCTGACCCTTAAATGAAAACTCCAATTTCAAATAAACGATCTGACAAAGCTTATATAATTCCTACACAAGTCAATGTATTTTATTCTAAAGCAACTCTCTCTACTCAAGACATGAAACAAATGCCTCCCTGTGACACAGAAATGAATACCTGTTCCACTGTCCATGTCCCTCAACTCTGCTTAGTTGAAGAGAGAAGCTTGCTCAACGATCTTCTGCATTCAAGATTTCTAGGAGTGTCGGATACTGGCGTCACCCACTGTGCTCTGCAGTTTTCTTCACCATCTTCTAGGTTACTACAGAACATAGGCGACCTCAGAAGGAATTACAACACACAACAGGGGGCCCAGACATCCTACACACTTGGAAGTGCCAAATATAGAAGATTTTGAGCAAGCTTCTCTCTTCAATCCAGAGTGGTGTGGAGGAACTTAAGTTGCTTAGACAGAGCCCTGACCTCAACCCTACTGAGCACCTTTGGGATGAACTGGAACTCAGATTGCGAGCCAGATCTTCTCATCCAACATTTCATCTGACCTTACAAATGCTTTTTTTTTTTTGCCTGAATGGACACATTCCATAATCTTCTGAAAGGTCTTTCCAGAAGAGTGGAGTCTGTTGTGGCCTCAAAGGGTAGGGGGCACGCCATATGGTTTTGGAAGTGTAAATTGAGTGTAGATATACAGTAAGTGTGACAGTCATGTGTCTGCAAATTTTTGGCCACGTAGCGTAGTTCACCTGATGGCGATTGCTTTTATTATCAACAGTCAAAGTGGATACCCTTGTTAAACAAATTCCTCTAAGAGTCAACTGAAAATCCACGCCCATTAAATGGTTCTACCAATTAAGGGAAAGTACTTGCAAATACTATTGCATATTGGCTGCGGATGCATTTCGGGGGTTAATTAATTCCACTTGGCAACAATAGAAAGTTGATGTTAAAGAAGAAAAGATAAAGCATTATAATCAGCTGAGTCACAATTAGGTTTCTTCCAATGGATTAAAAAGTATTAAATGGTTTAGAATAAACCTGGGATTTACTGAGAGATTAGTATAACAAGCACCATGCATGCCATTCCGCCAGAAATAAAAGTGTTATGAACCACATAACCCTTGATTCAGTAAAAAGTGGCATATTATTTCTCCATGAACCCAAATGACTGTAATATGTAAAAGAATGTTCTCCAAAATGCTAATGAAAAACAAACTGACATCCAGGATGCAAGAAGAAGTATGGAAACCTGTACTGAAAGAAAGTACAGGGGGCTGCCACTAATGTCTTTTTCTAAAAAAGCTAGTTCCTGGCTATCCAGCCACTTCAATACTTTCTGAGCCACTGACCCAGAAAAAGATGACATATCAGCTCAAAGACAGCCTGGCAGCTAATGTTTAAAGTGGATCTGAACTCAAAAAAGTAAGAATTGCTCTGTTATAGAAAACACTTGGAAATATTAATTGTTCCTAAGCAGAATCCTGAAAATGTACCTTTTGTCTTGAATCCTTCCTGCAAATAGCATTGCACTTCCTGTGCCTGAGCACTCCTATTCTGTAGTCTCAAAACTGTTCACTTGCAGTGTAAAATCATCTGAGACAGGGGTAGCCAAACTACGGCCCTCCAGCTGTGGTTAAACCACAAATACCATGATGCATCTCTCTGAGAGTCATGTCTGTGGCTGTGAGAATCTTACAATGCCTCATTGGATTTGTAGTTACACCACAGATGGAGGGCCGGAGTTTGGCTACCCCTGATCTAAGGCACTGCCTATTCTGACCTTTATTCTCATCAGATTAGGAGCGAGGTTACTACTGTGCAGCTTGATGGAGAGGAAGCAGCATGGCATGCACCTCCCTGCTGCTTCCATTATGCAGATATGTGCTTTATGAAGCTCTCCTGCTGCTTATTGAATATTAGCCCACCAGTCATCAGGGGGCAACCCTGACCTCAGAAAGCTTTTTTACAAAGATGGCAACCTCCACACTGAGACACAGTGCAGGACAAACAGAGATTGTGTTAGTACAATGCTGGGCTAGTGACTTGAGGAGAGGTAGTGGATGTGATTCAAAGTCAAAGGGCAGCTTTCTGTCACCTGGGGTGTCCTCAGAGGTCCTACAAGTAGTCTGAGGAATGTAGAAAAGACGAGTCCAGCCAATTTTTATTGTATATAACACCGGCAACCCGTTACAGCCATATATGTCACGCTTTTTATGTAATATTTCTTCTCCAGTTTTATCCTCAATCATTGCCGGCATTTTAAGCCCTGATGAAGTGGGGGTTTGAGCTCTCAAATTGAGCTTTCAATAAAAATCAACTAGACTCTCAATAATGCTATGATACACCTATCTTTTCTACATTCCTCAGTGCAGGACAATGAATGGTAAGTCAGAAATTAAAATAAGATCAGCTGAAGGGCAATACTGGTGTCCTTTGCCCTGCGCATGACATTTTTGGGCCCAGCTTCCATATTTCAGGTCCTTTTTGAAATATGGTCAGCAGCGGCTGCCCATATGTTTCTCACAGTACAGGTACAATATTTCAGATATTACTATTTACTTATGAACGAGTGGAGTGTGCTAGTAAGACTAAACATTACCCCTTCCTCAAACCTCAATTTATTTAGAAATGGGTAGAGCCAAACTCCAGCCCAGATGCTCTCTTTGGGTCTGGACAGAGTAAGGAAAGGTAACGTTTTATATCAGTTCCTGCATTCATGCTGTAATTTGCCTTTGGCTGGAGATTTACTTACCGATAGCAACCACCACGTCCATACTATCTTCACTGTCAATGCCATTGAACACGCGGCAGAAGTACAGGCCCTTATCTTCCACTGAAACGTTAGGAATCTGGGGAGAGAAACATATATTTAGTCCATGCATAGCAAAGTAACTGGTTCATTCTAATGGTTGTCCCACCATTAGCATATACTCATTTCAAGGGAGGAAAGAACATCCCACCTTTTTTTTAGGCATACCTCCGTCCTTTGCACTATTATCACTTCCCTAAACATTTGCATATTGTAAAATGTTTGGTATTCAGTTGTTAAAATGTTTCTTTATAAAATAATTGGTATGCCCGCAAATTAAAATGTATTTAAGAGTAAAAGTCTTGTAAAAGTTTGTAGGATGTCTATAATGAAGAATGGATGACCTAGATCCACGTGGTTACTACATACAAACAGCACCAGATGGACCTCTATCAGTCATGAAAATTCTTATTTATTTGCAGTGCAAGTGTCTACAGTGTCTACATCAGTGTTTTTCATCCGTTTTTCAGTCAGGTCACCCTTTAAAAGTATGCAACATCTAGAGGCACCCCAGTCTAAGTTGTAAAAATACATCAATGTAAAAAACTGTAAAAAAAAACACATGTTTCCCCCTTTAAATCAGGAGCCCCCTTCACATCAAGAGCCCCTTTCTCTCACATCAGAGC